CATCGGCGAGAGTTTCAACCCTGAACTGAGCAAAGCAAACACAATGAGTGTTTTGGAATCCAAATTCCAGGCCTTGGCTGTGCTAAGTGTTTAAGCCCTTGTCATTCCACACAAACAAAACACAATTTATCGTTTTACACCCCACATAAAACCTGTGGACTTCATACAGCCCCACTGTTCTCACACAAAAAAACAAACAAACAAACACAACTGATCACACACATCTCAAGCACAACAAACACAAGCAACGACAACAAACAACAAACCACAAAAACACAAACCAACACAAACACAACACAAACATGCCAACAAACACACACCACCGCTTTGGGAAAGCTTCTTGGGTGCAATACAATGTTTCCTGCTACATTCGTCTGGGGAACTAGAGTCTGTCATTTTTCCCCATTCAACAACTTGCAACACGCGGATTTCCTGCAGCCCCGCTGTTCTCACACCAACACAGCCGACGACAAGAACAACAACAAACACGACGTAACATAATGCTTCTTCCCACACATTTCCTTGAAGTTTTTGGCCATGCTCTCAATCTTACTGTTGCGGAATTTATGTGCTCTTTCCCGCATGTATCCCACAAACATCCCTGAAGATTCTGGACATGCCCTAATTTGATTTGTGTCGGACCCAGCACTAATTCCCGTCCCAGTCGGGTTGAGGACACCAGGGAAGCCTTTCCGAGTCCAGTCCCTTTGCTGGCACATCTTTCGTTAACATTCGGGATAAGTCAGCAGGGCTGATACATGTTCAACATACTATGCTGTTGCTTTGACGGAAATAGAAGAGTTAAAGCCGCCTCAAGTTGTGACCATTGTGGGAACATCAGAGTCCCCCTTGTCGTCCCCAGATTCACCATAGACTCTTCTTGTGTTTGAACTTGATTTGGAATGACGCAGCTCGGAGTTTTCAGTGTGGGGCCATGTCCCTGACCTCCACTGAATTTCCATAGGCCCCAAGAAAGGAACCTTCGTCAAGGTCGTCCCCCTTGTGCCTTGTGCCCTGACTGTCGCTTTCTCCCTCTGGGGCTCAACGCAAAACCTCTGCACATTACCTTTCAGGACCCAGCGCCCCCCGAGACCGCCAGTAGCTGAGTAGCTCTCGAACATGTGGCTATAGCAAGGATGTCCGAGATCATGGCAAAGCCCGGCCAGTGTCACGCACACCTTTGGAAACTCAGGATCAATCAATTCCTATTTGATGAAGAAAGGGGCAGCGGGTGGCCAATTTGAAGGGAGTCTATCGTTTTTAGGTTTGAGCCTAAAATTCTGCCAGGTCGGTTGATTCATGTGGGGTTTTCATGCCAAATCCACGCGACGGGATCCTGGAGGAATATCCTTGAGCAACTTGTTTCGGGCTTCAGGGACGTACACGGCAATGCCGCACGAAGAATCAGCAAGCGCGTTGCCCTGCAGGGTCTTGCCAACATGGGACGTGCGGCCTGGTCTTGCAAGATCTTCTCTCGCTTGCCAGAGATTGCAAATGGCTCCTTATTTCTTTCCATGGGCCCAGGGCACACTCCCGCGTTATACAGTTGATACTTGCTCGCATTGGATGATGTAAGACTCCGCGAAGGTATGCTGGTATGCTGGAGAAGCTGTTTTCAGGATCTTGGGACCGAGTTTGGTTCTTGGGTTCCTTTGCTTTCCCGATGGCAAGCGCATCATCCAAGTCTGGTGAGGTTGCCCCAGACCAATCAGCCTTGCGGATCAAGGTGGTGTGTGTGTGTGTGTGTGTGTGTGTATGTGTGTGTGTGTGTGTGTGTGTGTGTGTGTTTTTGTGTGTGTGTTTTTGTGTGTGTGTTTTTGTGTGTGTGTTTTTGTGTGTGTGTTTTTGTGTGTGTGTTTTTGTGTGTGTGTTTTTGTGTGTGTGTTTTTGTGTGTGTGTGTGTGTGTTTTTGTGTGTGTGTTTTTGTGTGTGTGTTTTTGTGTGTGTGTGTGTGTGTGTGTGTGTGTGTGTGTGTGTGTGTGTGTGTGTGTGTGTGTGTGTGTGTGTGTGTGTGTGTGTGTGTGTGTGTGTGTGTGTGTGTGTGTGTGTGTGTGTGTGTGTGTGTGTGTGTGTGTGTGTGTGTGTGTGTGTGTGTGTGTGTGTGTGTGTGTGTGTGTGTGTGTGTGTGTGTGTGTGTGTTGTGTGTGTGTGTGTGTGTGTGTGTGTGTGTGTGTGTCTGTGTGTGTGTGTGTGTGTGTGTGTGTGTGTGGGTTTGTGGGTGTGTGTGTGTGTGTGTGTGTGTGTGTGTGTGTGTGTGTGTGTGTGTGTGTGTGTGTGTGTGTGTGTCTGTGTCTGTGTCTGTGTCTGTGTCTGTGTCTGTGTGTGTGTGTGTGTGTCTGTCCCCAAAAGTGACCAGGATCCACTCAAAAAACGGCACTCTCCAACAAGTTCAACCGGGATTTGTGAATCAATTTGCTTCCCACTACATTGTATCTTCATGCGTCTTCCAATTTTGGTGCATAGGTGCTCCCTGACCTTCAAGACATCTTTTCCGGGCAAGCAAAGGTCTACCCGCCATTTGGATGGGATCTGCTCCTTACTGGGGCAATTGAAGTGACACACTTATCAGGTTTACGACCGGGTCCCAAGAGAAATGTTGAGAACCCCTCAAAATGCAACCACTTTGAGAGACCCGGTTAAAGCCCCCCATCTAAAACATGTGCCTGCCCGTCGGTCTTTCCAGCCTCATCCCGGTCGGAGATTTGCAGCTCTGGGTGCTGCCGCCGAAGATTCTTGATGAACTCGTAGGCCAGATACGCAGTGCCAATGGAGTGGAAGAAACGGTTGTGTGTAGCTCCTCTCAGGTGCACAACTCGCTCAACTTCAAATTGCAACTAGTGGTTTCCGCATGGGAACCCAAAGGACGCGTTTGGCTTGGTCTCTTTCAACAAAACACCTCCCCACGACACAAGGCGGTCGGGCCCCTATTCTTGGAAATAGTCTGTCGACATTAGGGAAAATGATGGGCTGGGTCGTCTAAGGTTGCCACTTAAAAGCAACCACAAATAAGTCCCCCCAAAAAGACCTGCCGATATCTTGGTCGTTGCGAGAACGCATGGCCAGTTATCAGGGAAAAACCCACAAGTCGTCACAGGCTCAATCTGGCAAAAATGTATACCCACAACTCCAGTGATCATGCAAAAAAAGAAAGAAAGAAGGAAACAAAAAGAAGAGGGGCCTCCTTCCACAGGGTTGCTCCCAAAGTCGAAAACATTCGTCTGGTCAAGGGAAGTCAAAGGAAGTCAGGCCAAAATTCTATCATTGGGTCTTGATCAAAGGCTAGCAAAGGCAAGCCTTGTGGTTTGGTTACTCCCCCAGAAAATATTGCGGAACCCCAAGAAGGGTTCTCCAAAACAAGACTGCTGATCTTCTGGGCCGCATGTTAATCTCCAGAGAAGTATCTTTCTTCGATGTTCACAGTCTTACCAAACCTGGCTCGCCATAAAACAGGCATTTTAGGAAGACCAACACTTGGCCTACATCTAAGGTACACAAAAACATACTTTGCGCGTTTGTCGCTGAACCGTGAAATAGCTTTGGAGGAGACACCAGAAAAGGAGAACCCGCTACCTTCCGCCCCCAGCCCCTGGCTGAGTCCTGGATAGACATTCGCGCAAATGCCCAGCTGCTTGATGAAGCGCATGCGCTGGAAGCAGAAGGTGTCCACAACGAGTTTCACCTTGTTTTTGAGCACCCTTCTGCATTTCAGGCTTGGTGTCTCAACCATTAAATTCTTTCGACCTCGATTGCGCTGCAGCCAAGCCCTGGGAGCTAAGCTTGCGGGCCAAAGGGATAATGTATCAGTCAACACACAATTCACCAAGCTGAAAAAAACTTGAGGGCAAGACTTCGACATCCCCTCTGTGAGGTCACGATTTCATCTGCTCACATGTTTGGTAAAGGGATGGAAGCCAAACCTGGGGAGATTCCCGTGTTCCTGTTGTGGTCTATTCTCTCAGCCCACCGCTTCTTTTGGCAGTTGATTTCAAATGGAAAGGGCCCTACAGAAAGGAAAGCCTGGCGCCACTGGAGGTCAAGGTTGGTACCCTTGTGGAATTCCTTCATTGAGAGCCTGGCATGCGATCAACTGGACGTGAGTCACAGGTAGCTTGCTGCTCCCCCGAGCTTCACGCATGTTTTCCTTTGCAGGGGGGAAGGGTATTGGAGCTTTTGCGAAAAAGGCCAATCGGCAGTTGCTTCTTTCATTTCACAGTGGCCGTTTGCGAATCAGGCGGTCACATGTAAACATGTGTAAAACTTGGAGGTTGCGTGGTTTGAAGCAAACTTAGGAATGCCAGCCAAATGGCGGATAGGTTCCGTTCATGTACTCCTTGAAAGCGGTTTTTGCGGGTTAAAAGGGGCGAGAAGGTGCCGAAGGACCCTTGGGACACTACGAACGGGAAGATTTGCTAAGAGAGTACCCATCAAGCCTGCTTGGCACCTGGAAGCCTCAAAAGGCTAAGCTTCGTGGATGCAAATTTTAGTCTATGATGCAGGGCGCAAGTATTAAATGACTGGTTCATGCAAACGTTGAGGGACAATCTGAAGGGGTCAACCCAATTCCAACAATGCAACGTCCCGCTCCGTGCAAAGGCCCCGGCGTACTGCGGCAAGTACATCTGCCCGTGCACCGGGCAGTTGATGGTGAAGGTCTCCTCCGGCAGCGCTAAGAGCGAACCAAGGGGAAACCAAGGGGAAAAAGGGTGGTCTACAGCCGAATCTAGCCGTAGCGGTTATGCAGCGGTTTTGCAGGGGTTATACAGTGGGTACGCAGGGGTTGTAATGGTTATCTAGCGGTAGCTATAAAAGGGTTGCGCTGTGCCTCTAGAGTGGTTGTGGACCGGATCGTGGAGTGGCTGTCTAACCGATTTTCCATTCTGGGGGTAGCAGTGGAAGTCTCTTTGCTTTGGACGATTCTGGCTCATCGATGCTTGGCCAAACCCCAACCACGAGTGAAAGTTTGATAGGACTTGACATTCAAGTCATGGAGCAGGGAACTGCCGCAGGATCCCTCCCCTGTCCATCCTGGGTTTGTCCTTTGGGTCGTCTTGAAACGAACCCAAGACAGAGAACTATCAGGGGAACACACTTGCCCCTTGGGCAGCGAGGAGGGAAATCGGGACCATTTCCTTTGAACAAGCCTCGTACAGTGTGGTTATCACCCTGTTCTCGCCAGAACTTGGATCCGAAGACCACCCGATCGGCTCGCACCTTTGTGTTGCCAATTGGTTAGGATAAAGTGTAAAAAACAAGGAGATTGACCCAAGGAACGAACCTTCATCAACACTCGTGCAGCCGTATCTTTGGGCAACGAACACTTTTGGACCCTTGGCGAAACAAATCGTTGACCAAATGCTGTGTGGTCATTGCCAAGGTCCTTGATGCAAAGAGCATATTCGCCACAGCCCTCAGGGCCGACAGCGGTCAGAGCCCTCTTTAGATCAGCGTCTTCCCGAGCCCTTGTGGGCCTTAGGCTATGGCTGTAGCTCTTAGGGCGTACCAGCGCGTAGCCGCCATGTCTTGCGTAGCCCCACGACTGCCCCAGGCCTCCTAATGCTCTACGACATCGGTCCCGTTTGTTCTCATTTCACCGAAGTGATTATGAACTGTTTCCCTTCTTCTCAGAAGGAGTCTATGTCTCAGACCACCTGAGTCACAATCAAAACCTGGTACAAAAATGGTGAACCCAGAACCATGTAAAGGATTAAGAAGGCGGCCGCACCTACTCGGGTTTTGATTGTGACTAACCTCAGTTTTGCTTTAGCGACGGAGAGGCTCCAGTGACACACTATAATGTCGACGGGAGTCGCATTTTGGAAAAGGCAACGCGAGCTCTAGACGTCTCCTTTGTCGGGGCATAGTTTGCTCAGTTTCCGCCCGCCGCTTGGAAAACCGCATCCCTTTCACTGGATTTTGGCTTCAAGGCTCTTCCTTCTCAGCTCTCAATGCCAGGCCCTTTTCATGAGGCTGCAGCCTCGGAGTGGTGCTACAATAGCTGTGCGCAACCGCATGAGCTCTCGTCTGCATGACCTCTTCGCAGCCATAGGTAGCTTGAAACGAGTCTGCAAATTCTCAGACCCGCAGTTTCACTCTCCTCACAAGACGTATGATCGCGTCAGCTACGAAGTGACAGCTGCGGGTGACCTGTGGTCGACGGACTGGAGCACTTGGGGTTACTACAACAGTGGCACCACCGGGAACAACCTTTGCCTGCCGCAGCATGAATCCCCGCCCCGTCGCCGGCAGGCACCCTCCAAGGCAAAGGCCTGCCTCCGGACTCAGCGGGCAAAAAGGCAAGGTCTTGAAGGGCAAGGGAACTGCAAAGGCAAGCGGGGGTGTGGTTCCGGGTCACCGATAAGGACTCCGGCCCCGGCAGACACCCGCCCGTTTTGTGAGCTCCCAGCAGATGTCACAACCCGCCCGGCCACGGCCCAGCCATGGCATCGTTTTCTCTAGCTTGCATTGTTCTTCTGGTTTCACTCCTTCCCCTGTAAAGAAAGCTTCCTCTAACAAAAAAACCAAAAAACTTTTTCCAAAACCCCGAGGCCCGAAACCTAAGTTAGAACTGCCCACTTAGACGTATACAATCACATTCCAACGCCAGGCCGAGGCGGGCACCGCGAAGCGTTTACAAAAGATTGGCTTGGCACACAGCGTTCATTGGGGCTTTTCAAAAAAGTGACATATCTCTTTGGCACGGTTCCAACTTAAGCAACAAGGGCTTTGATCATGGATTCTGGCAATATGTCCAAAGCCTGAAGTTAAGGTCGTTCTATCCGCGGGGCGAGCTCGCCATAAAATGGGCAGCCCTTGGTTCGTTCCAATCTGTTCCTTCACCCCTGGGTGCCTGCAAGAGCGGAGGTCTGGGCGCAGCTTGGCTCTGGCGCGCCTGCACCGGTAGGGGTGTTGCAGAAAAATCTGGGCGCCAAAGGGGAGGTTCAGTTTACTGCGGGGAGTCCTGAGCTCCAGACAAAACTGTGGGGGAAAGCCCAGACGGTGCCTTTTTGGGCTTGAAAGGAGAAATCAAATGGACACCACCCGTTTTGGGAGTTCTCCCTATCTGGAGGCAAACCCAAATAGTTTCCAAGGTCTAAAGGCCAGCAAGACCAGCCATCAAGGGAACCCCGCACGAAACCATTGCCAAATGGAGGCGGCCCCAGCATTGTCACACAGCAGTAAAAACATGAAATAGCCTTTTTCAAGTGGTGGGTGCCGCGGCACAGCGCAACAGCACAAAAGGAGACACGCAACCTGTTTGTGAGAAGTCCCCCGATTCCACAGTTGCAACCAGTGACGTGAAAGGTAGTACTAGGGAACCCTTTTTGGTGCAGATTCCCAATTCGAGTGATTTCGGAACACAACAAAAGGATGAGGGTGGAATCCAATGGCAATCTCCAGAGAAGCCTCGCTTGCCCAAGGGGCCTGGAATCAGAGGTCAACTTTTGGGCCCAAAAGCAGCCGAAATAAAACCAGCAGGCCAGATGCTTGGCTTACGCGAAATCGTCAAATGAATAACAAAGGTTTCTTTGCCAAACTTACTTGAGCGCCTTTGCCCAAACGAGACCAACAACTTTGCTCAAATCTGGGCTACACTAAACATGCTTTCAGATTCTGGTCCGTATTCAGTGCACTCTCAAATACAAAATGTATGCCAGGCCTGGAAGCAGGATCCACAAACGAGTCTCCAACTGGACGAGAGCTCCATGTTACGCTCTCCGTTTTTGGGACAGTATGAAAGGAAATGCAACATGAAACCAAGCAAATTGTGGGGTCCCTAGTCTGGGCTGTTCAAAGTTGTATGGCTGGCCAATCCTGACCGACTTGCCGTCCTGGAACACCACTCGGGGGAATCCAATCATTCGTAACACACGTGGAGACCTTTAAACAGCGTAATGTTGACTCCTGATATGTTTTTCTGCGGACTCATGAGAAAACAGGGAGTTCCCCAAGCCAGATTCTTAGGGTACCTGCCGTGCGTTCGCAACGCAAAATAATGTTAAGCTCGTGAAGAAAGGAAACACAAAAAGGAATCTTCTGTGAGGGCTGCAAAAAAACAAGTATTTTGCTCACATGCCAGTATATATTATATATTATATCTCTATATTTCTATGTATACATACACATACCACGGTGTAATTATATATAGTTTGGGATACATAGGGATATCTCTAGAATATGGGGACCCCCCCAACGGCTAGCTTTCCCGAAATATCATCTCCATCCCCTCAGGCGGCTGGGCCATTTTATTTCCGTGTTGGGTCCCGGGCCTGACTCTCGCCATTCGCACTCATGGCCATGGTCTTCGACCCCTAAGAAGTGGTTCCTCTGTTTTCCAGGCCGGAAACCAGTTATTCAAAAATTAAGAGGTTAAACAGAAAAGCAAAGAGCAATCAAGAACATGTCCGATCACTATGCGATGGCTGCCACTGGCAGAAAACCACTTTTCAAGAGCCTGCACGAGTTTATCTCGCAATCAGTCAATCTTGGACAAGCCCACGGCTGCAAGACACAAGCATCTTGCCAAAGGCTCCTGCACACGCAAGCTCCATGTACGTGAGCAATGTGAATATTTCTCGAGGACTACGCTAGAGATGTCACACAAGGCCCTCCTGCTGATTTGACAGTGACAACAGACGACCGATACGTGGCATCATCGGAGGCGGTCATTATAATTTTGTTGTTCCCCTCAAGGACATGCAAACATGGGGTCCGGTGCCGGAACTTGTGCCAACACTTTGGCAACTTTGGATGAGCTGCTGTCCATCCCGAAGCCCATCTATGCACTCAATAGCAACCACAACTTCTGGGAACAAAAGGTGATCACCGCTTGAGTTGCCACGTCAGAAAAATGGTCGCCCAAACTAGCAAGCCTGCAGGATAGATTGGATGGACTTGGTTGGGACCCAGAATAATATGTGACAACAGAATGTAGGGGCGATGTCACAAACGAGGCTCCTGCGATACGCGGGGAAGGGGGCGAAAAAGTGGACCTGCTTTCCAAATACCTAATCAGGTGGGTACAAAATCACACCTTTGGTCCCTTTCAGCTCAATCCTTCGTTGTGTTGTTTGTTGTTTTAGTGTCCATTCTTAGAGTCATGATTCGGGAAATGCAAGAGCACAACTTTCACGCTTGATTTTTCTGCACGGGAGCGGGATCAACAGGTCAACTATCTTACCCGGCAAAAGAAGGACTCCCGCTTTTTGGCTTGTGGTAGCGGGCGCGGGCCACCCAAAACCGGTTGGGTGGCCCCAGCAATCAAAAAACGGACCCCAACCATGTTTCGGCACCCTTTTCTGGTAGACTTAGAGCCCTTCAAAGGGCACTTACTTGAGAAGGCACTTGTAGGGAGTCCCCGAATTTTCCTCAGGCCAGTGCGTTTCCGAGGGCCCTGCTGCATCCTCCAAGGCGGCTTCGTCTCGGTACCCAAAGTGGCTGAAGCCTGGAGAGGTGTGGAGCCGGACCGAAACTGCCAAAAGGCAGTCTCGTTTTTGCTTTTGGGCGTAGCTTCCATGGGGGTTTCAAGATTGGTCCCATGAAGGCGACGAAGCACAGTAAGGATTTCATCCGGATTCGTAGCATCAAAAACACAGCAAGTCAATCAGGGTTCCATTCCCCCAACCGACAGTTTACTTGGCTCGGTCGAGTCCAGTTGGGGCTTGGCTCAAAGGCCCGCTTTGGGACCTTTGGTGTACAGTGGGACCCAATTCGCGAACCAGTGTGCATGCTGCGCCTTCTGCAGTGAAACATGGTTTCAGGTGAGATCCTTTCAACACCACCCCAAAAATTAGGGGATTCCCCCCCCCAAAAAAAAAACAGGATGGCTTGGTCGGCCGCCAACACAAGCACGGTTGGGGTGGGTACGTACCACTAAGCCTTCCTGAGGTTTTGAATAGCCCTCAAGTAGAGCCCTGCCAAAAACACATATTGCACCTGAAAAAGAGAATTCCGGATTCAGGAACATTTTCTTCCACATCCCTTTTCAGCTTCCATGGTGATGGTCTGGGGTTGCACTCACCTGTCCCACGCCGCCGCCCCCCCCCCCCCCGCCCCTATAGTCGTTGAGGCCAGGGCAGCTGAGCATGGTGCCCAACTCGGAGCCAGACCTCGGGACTTGGGACTTTGCTTCTTCCGCCGCTGTCGGATGTAAAAATACGAGTAGACCGCCACCAGTCGCCACCATGTCCCTTCAAAACCAACAGGTTTCAAATTCCAAAACACCTTCTGCAAAGAACACAACGGGTGAATGAAAGGTGTGACCGGACTTGATGCAATTATGCGCTGCTCATATATTCGTATGAGTGGATTCAAGCTCAGCCTTATTCTTTCCCACTGCAACAAAGTACACAACATCCAGGAGGTAGGAAGTATGATAAACAAGGAAACTTTATGGACGGTTTGATCGAACATCCAATGCGAAACCAACCACCTGGAGGATGTCCTAGCCTGGACACACTCAAATGAACTTTGCGCTTGTTTGCGGAAGTTTGATGGGAGCCAAGCCATTCGAAACTACAGCGTTCAAATAGGATTTGATGGTTGCCACCAATGAAACAATCTTGAAATCATTGATGTCATCAAGTCCTTAGGACCTTCTCTTCACCAGGGCCATGGAATCTAGTTGCCCCCCCCCCTTTTCACCCAACGCCTTCAAAGCCGAAAGCCGTATTGTAAAGATGTGGGGGCCGTCTACAGCCGGGGGGGGGGACACGTCGGGCACCAGGGAGACACGGGCTCATGTTGCTTTCCCGTTGAAACCGCCCCGCTTAAGGGTTGCTCTTTGACCAACACTGCTGAAATGAGCAACAACTCATGAAGGCAAATTTGGTCAATGGTCGACCCACGTCGTTCGACTTGCAGCTAGCTGCTGCTCTCAACTCTTAGGTGGTTTTCACTGCCCCCAAACCACTACTCCTAAAGGACAATTTGGCATCAATGCTTTAAACGATGCCTACATGGGTGTGTGTTTCTTTGAGGGTACCCTTTGTAGGTTTGGTGTAAATGGAACTCAACAGAAACCCCACCTTTTTTCCCTACTTTGACATGCACTTGTCTGGCGCCTGTATTATATTAAATTAAACCGCTGCGAGCCGCTGTCCCAGGCATGGTCAACCAAAACCTCGTACAAGAACCTGGACTACCCTCCCTTTTTCACTGCTGCGGTATCTTCCACCAGCTGGCTATTGCGCCCGTGCGCAAAATCCTTGTTTGCTGGTTCTAGGCAAAGACCTCCTGCCACAACAAGTTGTGTGCTTCAGGAAAATATACTTTTCCACAACATGCTTTTGCTTGGTATAGGACACCGGTTGGTTATGTTGGACTCTGTTTAGTGTGACCCCCCCCCCCCCCCGGAACAGTGGAACCAGTCGGCGAGTCTTTTAGGGAGATCCTGGGGGATCTGGGAGGGACAGTACTTACTTTAGTATTGCCAATTCTACTTTATAGTATTGCCAACTCTCAGATTCCCAGTGCTGACTTTAGTATTGCCAATTTTACTTTAGTATTGCCAAGGCTGACTCTCAGATCCCCAGTACTGACTTTAGTATTGCCAATTCTACTTTAGTATTGCCAAGGCTGACTCTCAGATCCCCAGTACTTACTTTAGTATTGCCAGTTCTACTTTAGTATTGCCAAGGCTGACTCTCAGATCCCCAGTTCTTACTTTAGCATTGCCAGTTCTACTTTAGGATTGCCAAGGCTGACTCTCAGATCCCCAGTACTTACTCTAGCATTGCCAATTCTACTTTAGTATTGCCAATTCTACTTTAGTATTGCCAAGGGTCGTTTTTTCAGCAACCCCCGAAACCAGTTGGACACTAAAGAGGACCCCAAAACAGTCGCATTAAAGAGGATCTGGGCCTCTTGTGGGCACCCCCCTTTGTGCGACTGTTTGCCCGCACTTTTTTGTACAGAAGTTATCTTAAATTTGATGGTTTGGGGACCACGTCAAGAAAACAATTTCCCAATTCTAGCTCAGAACCAGCCTCCAGCTCAACAGGAGCTACCAAGGCTTAGCAAGTTTAGCCTGAGCCCGAGCAAATCCAGAAAGCGAAGAAAAAAGCTATGCGTTTTTTGAGATTTTTCTGGGGGGGCAAAAAACTTGCCACAATAGCGAACCGTTAAAACAGTCACAGGATTCTGAATTAGGAAAACAACATCTACAATAGCGAGGACCAATAATAAAGGAGGTCCAACATTTTTGTTTTTGCAAGCACGGAAAACGACAGCTCCCCCCCCCCAAAAAAAAAAAAACACGACAAGTTGAAGGTTGTCTGTAGCTCAGGCGCAAGCATCTGCTCCGACTTCCAGGTGGTAACCTGGGCCAAAACACCTCAGAATTGCACGCGTCCGGATGTTTGGGCTGACCGTTTCTGTGGACAGCCCTCCCACCGATTGTTGTGGGCAATGGATGAACCTGATGACAATTCCAAGGTTGGCAACGCTCAACAGCAGGTGAAGAGTTATCTTCTCCTCTTGGACAGGGGCCTGTGCACTTCCATGTTTGTTGGACTCCATGCGCCCCAAGGAGGCGCCGTTCGAAAAGACAAAAGTGTCAAAGTGAATTTGCAGGATTGCACACTACTGGGAAGAGCTAAAATGAGGCAATACACCACTATACAGCCAATTTTTTGAAAGGTAACACCAGCAATATTCCTTGATATTCCTTGTGGGATGGCTTAGGCAGGGTTGTGTAAGTTTCCCTTCCACTGTGATACCGGTTGGAAAACAGGCGCAGAAGCTACTGTTTCGACGTTCTGCACTTGCCAGCCTCTACACAAATAAGGCCCTGTCGCAGCAGCTTGGGATGCTCGAAGCTCAACCTGCAATCAAGCTGTGGAACTGTGCGCCCTCAATTCCCACTGAACAACTGGGTATGTTTGTCAAGGGTCCCCAAATGGAACTTCACAAAAGAGTTCTCTAATGGAGGACGCTTAGGATCCATGAGACATATTCGGCGCTAACTTGACATCGATTTGGGCATGATTTTGGACATCACTTGCATGCTAACCATCACAAACTGGTTTTGGAGCCATAGTAGTAGCCACAGCAACCCAAACTCATGACGACTCTTGGCCAGTGACTTGGCGCTAATTGTATGGTGTCAGCCGCCATGACCTTCCTATGTCTCATCTTGTGGCTCTGAATCACCATACGACTCTGGGCAGCGACACTGATGGGAAGGTTCCAAGAAGCATTTTCTCTACCAATGCGCGTTTGCAGGATTGTATGTTGGTTTTCAGGACCACTTTGAGACCATGCAACATATACAAACCTAAGGCGGGCCAACTGCACGGATCAGCATGCAACAAAATTCGACTCATTCCCCAAGATGGAACCATTGGGCGGGTATTTCGGGTCTTGCTTTTTTTAAACTGAATTCCACGTCCTCTGACAAACAACAAACCACTGGGAATATTGCCCGTTACTTAGCTGAATTCAAGACATCGTAAACTGAAATTTATTGAGAATCAATGTGGGAGCGCGCGCGTGTGGTGAACGTATGAGGGCACGCAGCGGATCAGCACATGCCCAGCCTCGTTATGCTGTCGGCCCAAAGTACAATCTCCTCGATGGGCGAATTGCACATGGGCGTGCCTCTCTTGGAGTTTAACACACCCTTTCGGATTTGAAGGGAAGCCAAATTGAACACCCCCATTCTGGAGCGCCCTACTAACATTTGGTTGAAGCTCACAGCTTTCACATCTTTTTGAGCGCGTTCCAACTCAAGCTTCCCGATACTTCCCTTTCAATTACAGGCCACTTCCCTTCGCTTGGCCCGAAAGGTGCCAACGCCTGACCACAAGAAGTGCAAGTCCGAGGGCGCGACTGGCACCGAGTACGGGGTGATGTCTTCAGCTGCTTGGTCAGCAAATGTTTTCGACAATGTCTTGTCACGCCTCAGCGCAAGTACAAAAGGAGGTATGCGGCTCGGTGTACAGATTATCACAGACTATCGAGGACCAGTCTCCTTCCGCAAAGGGAGCCAGTAATTACACGTTGAATCAATCCAACAACGCTACGTGTAGAGTGTATCTGTATCCCACCCCTTTCGTTGGGGGATTCCCTAACTATAGCCCGAGGAAACCTGACAAAGGACAAAGTGGCTACAAACCGAGAGCCAGTTGCAAGGATTGTCAACAGTGCAGTCCTGATGGGGTCCGCTCCTGGGGGTATGCTCCAGCAGAAAATCACTCAACAGCCACTACTCACGTGGCTACTCGTTCGTGCCGTGTCAAAAAGGGAAAACAAGGCCGCCAACTTCGGACTTATCAACTTCGTGGATTATTAGGGGGCGGCTTCGTCCGACGGTGGGGAACATCTCTCGATCAACCAGGGGTGCGCAGGTGCAAGAGGATTGACAATGGTTAATTGACCACATTCCATAGCAACGCAAGGGTGGGGTGTCTGTGAAGGTTCGGGGATTTCCGGTATGTTGCTTCCTACTGAGTTTAGTGAGATTAAACCTGGCGTGCCCCATGGTTCCTGAGTCACAGGCTCGGTCTTAGGCATCTCGCCATGAGAGACAACAAAATCTCAAAGGGAACCCCCCGAGCAGCAAACACCAGGGAAAGCAAGTACCAGTGTCCTTGGCCAACAAGGGAAATCCGCTAAACTAGAAACCAAAGGAAACTACACCGCCTAGTCTTGGAGATGCCCGAGAAACACAAGCGCCCGTTTGGGACATGGTTTTGCAGTTGCCTTTGGGCTAAACACGTGACACTGATCACCAAGACCTCTAGTGGCCAGGGACACCTTTTTTGGTTGGACACCAACATCACAAAAAAGGAAGCCGCGGCATCACTGCGGAGTCTCGCATTCACGACGTGTCGTTGGCTTTCCACACCCGAGTGAGCGGCTGGTTCAGCCGCGCCAGGCTATGGAGCAGCCTCAACCTCAGCTGAAAGTTGGCTCGGACGACCCACCAAAGTCTCAGCTCTTCAGAAAATGGGAACCAAGCTGCCGGTGAGCCTAGGTTGACCGTTTTCTGGTTGACCGTTTGACCGTCTTAAGGCGTTAAGGCTCCTTGAGGATACCGGTGAACACATGGAAGACTATGGAATTGTCTCAACACAGGACTCCGGTTGGGACGGGGCCTCGAGTACCACTCCCGTACAGTTCCTTGGCACACAATTCTCTGTGAGTTGGCGCCTCATCCGCCTCCGTGTAACTTGGCTTTAGACGCAAATTGGTTTCCTTTAGGCTGCAGGGAAATGGGCTTGTTTGACAATAGCGACTCTTTTTGGATAGTTGCAAAAGGAAACCTAAAAGAAACTACTTGGAGGAGATCACCCCTAGTTGGGAGACCCAAATGAACGACTTGGCAAGGGGACTCTCTCTCTCTCTCTCTCTCTCTCTCTCTCTCTCTCTTTCTTTCTTTCTTTCTTTCTTTCTTTCTTTCTTTCTTTCTTTCTTTCTTTCTTTCTCTTTCTCTCCTTATATCTTTTTGTCTCATTCTCTCTCTTTTTCTCCCTGGGAGCCCCGACTGCTCGTCTTGGGTGAATTGGAGGCGCTTCTGGTGGGCCCGAGCCAGCAAATCTTCCACAAGCTCCGACTCCGTGGGCACATCCTGCAAGGATCAAACCACCAGGCCCCAAGCAAAATGGGCAGTACCCATGGGATCACTCGTGCAAAAGTTGTCATGGACTCCCACAACTAGATGGCAGGGCACTATGTGGCGGGTGTTGTTTGTCTGTCCATACCCAAACTTATTTGGGCAACCCTCATGCGGGTGTGATTTTCAAGTGCTTGGACTTGGACTCCTGGACGTCATTATGTAGGCCAAACCCATCTTATGGTTCCAACCAGTAAAGTCGAGCCTTGTTGTAGGTTTAAAGCGAAAGAGAAAGAGAAAGCATGTAGGAAACTCCCTCGGGGTTGCTCCAAGGACGCTTTCAGAATAGAAGGAGCCCATACACATTCTTGATCATCTTTTCCGGGCTCGGAACAACCCAGTTTGGGTTTGGTGCCTTAAACTATTCATTCTGGAAGCTTCCCCTTCTAATCGGGCTCTATGGGTTCCTTTCGGATACACACCTCCGCCTTGTCCCGCCGGAACCCGTTCTCCCTGACTGCCTGACCTGGAACTCCGCCAGCTTTTCCCAAGCGAGGACCAGGAACTCGGTGTTGGTGCGGTGCACCAGTTGCCCCAGCGCCGCCCAACACGCCGCCCGCAGCTCCGGGAGACCTCCCGACAAGGTGAACACCTGAGGGTTCAGTCGGACCCTTCAAAGTTACGCCATGAACAATTTTTGCCAAAACTGGGGTTCCTTTTTAAGGGTCCTTTCCAGTTCGTTTCACTCATTTGGAAGGCGCTTCTCGGTTTTCATTCCGAGCTCCCTTCCAAGCATCTTTAGGGGACTACATGTTCCTTTCCGAGTTCATGCACCTGTAGTTTTCAACATCCCAGAAGCAAGGAAGGGACCTTCATAGTGGGCTTGTTTTGCTCCCGAATCGGGTGAGCTCGCTGGCAGAGATGCAGCTCGGCCCCTCGGCCGCCTATGAGGCGGCTTTCGAAGACATCTCTCAGCTCTGCCACCCGCAGCCGTGCCGGCTCCAGGGAGGACACCGCGGCGCGCAGGAGACTGTCGCCTCGGCTCCCGATGCAGTTACAATTTTGAAATTTTGGTCGGGGTGGCAACCCCAAAAGGTCGCAAGTTGGAACTCTGCAAATGGCAACAGTTTTTGTTGGTTTCTCGTGCAACAATCGAAGGGGGAACAAGGGAAGCCCTGTAATACAATGTACTGGAATTGCCTGGTTGGACATGGTTCACCTAGCTTTGACCTGCAACCGACCCAACGATCGGCCATGTGTTTACAGGAATACCGGAGATTTTTGCAAGAGCTTCCAATGTGAAAGGCTCCGATTTGAGTTTGACTCAGTCACCGTGAGAATCGGCAGTACTTTCGATGCTGATGATGCTCGATGTTCCAACCCTTGATTGGTTGCCACTGGGCCATTTTCAAGGGGGTGATTCCCGTGGTTCCCCCATTTCAACCATGGTTCTTTTCTAGCCCTTTTTCCCTCGCGTTTGTTGGCTTTCTGGAAAGATTCGGAATGACAGGGTTCAGAACACGATCACTAGAATTAGGTTCTGTTCTCTTTTTCCCTAGGGTCACTTATTCCTTCATAATCTTTCCAATTCTCCGCTCGAAACTTCGGCCGCCTATCCCCCCAACTTCTCCGTTCGCCTGCGCCACGCTCGTGGAGCTCCAGACCCAGCGCTCCCAGCGCGATCCGCGTCTTCGTCGGCGGTCTCTTTGAAGCCGCCAGCGCCTGGACCTCGAGGGACGTTTTCGGAGGCGCTTGAGGTGTCAAATGGTCATCTCCTGCCCAACAAAAACCTGCAAAAAAAGACAGAACAAAGCGAACATCCGCTTGAACAGGCCCACAACTTCCATTGGGAAAAATATGGCCCTCCTCCCATCCAATGTGGAGCCTCCTAATGGGGTCCGTGAGAAGGGAAAGTTCATTGCCAAATTGCCTCTAGCGGACCCTCTGGTGGGCTCCATAGGCTCCATGGTAGTGGACTACCGGTGCTATACCCACCGTGCACAACTCTAAAACACCGTCTCCGAGGGGCAAAGCCAACAAGACCTCCAATGGCCATAGGGGAAACGGGAACAGTGCTTTGGTTGCTGATTTTCAAGGGACACAGACTCATACACACTCAAAAGATGGGGAAAAAAGGCACAACTAGGGTGACTGGAGGTTCTGGGCAGCAGCTTGCGCATCCACCCCGCCTGAAACTCCAAGACGTCTGCAATCACATCCTCCTGAATGAGGGATGCCACGTCTGCATCTAGCCTTAGGAACCCACAATGCAGACATCTGGAAATGGGAGCTCCTGTCAATAGCTTACGGTTTTGTTTTGCTTTCCCTTTGACACATGCCCATTTTTAAGCCACCCCGGGTTTCCTTTGGGCGCGCTAGATGCCTCTATGTACTTGTTCTTCTTCTTTTTCTTTTTTTTTGGGGGGGGACCCTCTTGTGGATGCTGGATGCTAAATCATTAGTGGGTCTGGAACCTTAAACTTGTCCATCCCGTTTTGGCTGAGCATTTTGCGCTATCCAGCACCCAGGAGGGTGTTTGAAGGGGGACCAAAGGGAATGAAACAAACAGACAGAATCGAACAGCGGACCCCGCCGCACACCAAATCCGTCTTGGTCTTCCTTCGAGAGAGTGCGAATCAAGCGACGCCAACATGCACGGACACTCAGAACCAACATGCTGAGCACCTGGCAGTCTTTTGGATTGTGCTTGAAGCGAAACGAGCAAGAATCCCACCTCTTACCCCCTTGCCAAACAGCCGCTGGTTGCCTCTCTGCATAGCTGATGACAGAAACAAGTGATGACTTTCGCAGGAGTTTTATTGCCAGCGTGACGCGAATGACAGCACTTTCCGAATGGGAGAAGTTGTTTCTGCCTCTTGAAACTTCTCAAAGCTCCAATAGTCGTCACGGTGCACAAATTCTGGAAGGTCTCGTCTCCAGTGCATTTTGCACCAGCCTCAGCTAATGACCTATCATATCGTGCAGACCAGACAATGGAACTCAGGGGCTTTTCGAAGGAACACTGGAAGATTCCAGTCCCGCCCATTTTGCAAATCCCCTAAGCTTGGCTTTCCTGCACGCCAGGCTTTGGGGACAGCGAGCTTTGTTTGCTGGAAAAGGGTTCAGCGGCAAATGCTCGTGTCGTAGGCTTGGATTTTGCTCTGGTAAAACCACCCCTGCCCTTCTAGGGCACCAAATGAAACAAGAACGGGTACCTAGGGAAACTTCAGGAATGGCGGCGTTCTGGTACAAGCCAGCTATCACGCATCGCAAGCAGCGCAGGTCGCCGGATCCGCGAATGCTTCTGTTGCTCACGAGGCCGCCCTTACTCGAGAATCTGTTGGAGTCCTTGAGGATGTTTCAGACAAAAACCATCTTGGCAATCGAAGCTCCAAGAGCCGTCTCCAGGCTCTGGGATGTTGCCGCCCGACCTGAATATGGGTGGAATAGGACATGGCAGGTAAGCGCAACATTCCGAAATCGGTGCGTCCAGCAGCGGACCCCTACAAGGATTCGTTTACTGTCCCTTCAACGCAGCCCAACAACGGTTCCGCTGGACACTTTGCTTCCCAACTCCATTGCAAACAGCTTTGTTCCGTTCAGCCCTCCGAGACAAAGCAGCACAGAACTGACCAACATATAAAACAATATGCCAACAAACATAGGACTTGGGTTCCACAACGTTCCATCACGACCAAACCTCCGTTGGAATTCAATGGTAACAAAAGGACACCATCGTAGATGCTGAGATCTTAAGGAACCCCCTCTAGAAAAAAGGCAAACATGATAAAGGTTGAACGGGAAAGGGACATTGACGGGTAGTTCCCTTTGCTGGTGTTAAAGGGACATCCTGTCGAACAAGGAAAGAGCCTCCCTCACTTCGATTGGGCACCAGACTCAAGGAGCTGCTGGAAGGCGGACAAGGACTCAGCCAGCTGAAGCTCGGGCCTGGCCGGCCACCTTCAAAGGGAATCCAACAGCTTTTCTGAATGTTTGGACAGAACAATGGCAGGAATTGGAGTGACTGGCAAACAAACGGCGATCACCTTTTACCTTCAACATGTACCTAACCGGGAAACCACGAGATTCTCAAAAGGTCGATTCGATTCGATGTGGGAAAGTGCAAAGGGAACCCAAAAGCGTGGGCAATGCAGGAACCTGAAACGAAGGGCGAGGAATTGAGGAGCCTTCATCATGGGCCCCTTTTGAGGTCGCTAACCAAAAAGCAGAACCCTTTAATAAGCTTCCCCGTGCTCAAAAGGCAAACATTTATTGGAATGCCCTGGCCTTCCATTAACACAGGCTTCAGGCGAACTTGGCGTTTTCTGCAATAGGACCGCCTCGCAAATCTCGCAACAAAAGCAGAAACAGCAATTCGGCTTGCTGGTGTAAGGCCAAGGGTTTCGATGTACATGTTCCGAAGGTTGGTCAAAAAGAGGATGAATTGCGGATCCTCCTTAAACTGCCCTGTGAGCCATATAGTATGCGGTTTTCCTAATGGACATGGAACACATAGTGACTACGCCTGTCCTTTGAAGGAAGACTAGCAAGTCCGCCAATAAACAACTCTTATGTGGTTCCAAAACGGTTGGCGATATTTTTCATGCTCCATATACTTTCCACCCCCCGGTAGGAACCACCAATGAATCGAACGCAAAAAAACAAACATGGGGAGTCATTCCATAGATAAGATGTTGCAGACCATTGATGTGGGAGTTTTTATCTGGGAGAATCTGATGCCACTGGCGTGTCTTCCCAACGACAAATTCTCTCACACAGGAAGGTTCCCTGGTATCAGTGAAGAACCACCCCTCATTTCCTGCCCTGACGAAGAGCAAATTCCCCTGACAAGTGGATTCATAAATCAAAGGCCAGCTCCCAACTGATTTGCCCAAACTAGCCCAACAATAGATCCGCTGTGAAGTGAAACTTGAATACATCCAGGAAACAACTAGAACAAACACATCGAATCGCTTGTATCGATCATCATTCAGAAGCTCAGCCATCCAACGACTTGCGTTCAATCGCACGTGGCAGGCAACATTCACAAACACCTGATGGTACTGTGGGTTCCCGAAATATTGCAAGTGATCCACCACATCCAAGCACCAAACCTTGGTGATTGCGGTAAACCATCTTTCCTACTTGAAAGGCAAAGTCAGGTTCTGGAAACGTGCCATCGATGCCCACTGGGGCCCTGTCGGGGATATCCACATTTCAGTGTCTAAAATACCTGGCACAAGGGCAGGAATAATGGCAACCCTGTAAAGGAAAGCTGAAAGAAGCCTAACCCAAAATTATCCCTTGACTTGAGGTTTGGAGTTTGGAGCGCAGCACGCTTGCTGCGCTCCCACTTGGCCATCCAAATCTGGCGCAGGCCTTCGCTGCCTCAACAGCTGCAGCACATCGGAAGCGGTCGCGGACTGCAACTGTTGCAAGAAGCCGCCTGAATGGGCGCGAACAGTCCGGACGGTGTCGCTGGTGCCGGTCGGATCCGCCAGTGGCAAAAATTGCCGATGGGGGAGAGGGCGGCGTTTCCACTCTAAAATGCCACACTGCGCATTGGGAGAACCTCTGAGTGGGCTTGCCTTTGGCATTTTTGCAAATGTACACATGTACCAATACCAGTAGAGCAGGGCGGAGCCGGTGGGCGTAAGTTTCAGTCATATAAATCTATAGTTCTCTTTCTCTTTCATTTCTTGATTCGTTGTCTCTGCTTGCTCGTGTGTTTTTTGTTTTGCTGTTTCCTTCTCTCTTATTCTTCTTTTTCTCTCTTAAAGGCCAGGCTCGCCCAAAACGCAAAAACGCACCAGAAACCGATTCTGAGTTGATTTTGCGTTTTTGGCACAGGGGTTTCACCCGACCGGCTGCGGAAGACGCGGGTGATCCTCGACACGACTCGAAACGGGCACCCCACAACCACCACAGGACACGACACGGACCTCAACCATTTCAAGTTCTTTTAGAGGGTCCCTGACACGGAATACGGCAAAACAAACCGTAGGCTTCCTGATCTCTCTCTATCTATTTATCTATCTTAGAATTTGTCTATGTATCTATCTATCCATCTACCTATCTATCTATCTATCTATCAATCTATCAATCTATCAATCTATCAATGGATCAATCAATCTATCAATCTATCAATCTATCAGTCTATCTATCTATCTACCTCTCCCTCTATCTACCTCCCTCTATCTATCTATCTGTCTATCTGTCTATCTGTCTATCTGTCTATCTGTCTATCTGTCTACCTATTTATCTATGTATCTATCTATCTGTCTATTCATTCATCTATATATTTATCTCCTCTCCATGCCTAAAACAAGAACATTGGATGCTTCGGACACATTCAATGTTTTGAGCCCTGCGGCATTTGACGCTTGAACAGAAAGTGCCGGTTTTGCCGGGTCCATTTCGGTCAGAAAGGAGTTGTTGAAAGGAACACAACACACGGGTGGAAGTCTGCTTTTGCATTGGGCTTTCAAAGTGTTGCCTACATTGCCAGGGCGCATCAAAGTCAAGTCATGGAACATGGAGCTAGGGCGCTGTGGTCATGGAGAAAAAGTCGATCCCCACTCTTCCGGTTTGACTCAATCATCTCATCCGAATGGACCTGATGCGAGAAGCATTGTCGGAAATGCCTGAAGACAAACACCTGCGCAAATTGAAGTGCATCCAAGACCTGCGTTGCGTTATTCCGGGATGCCTCATTTGCCCACTATTGTCTCAACATTGGCTTCGCACTTCACAGCTTGATGAATGCTCGGCTAACACGTTTGCCATCGACGCATTACACCATTGAAGGGGACCAACCTACAATGCGCAATACTTGCCAAAAGAGGAATTTGATTGAATCCTCGCAAAAGGAACAACACACACACACACATGGAACCCACCTTTGTCGAATTTGCTTCTTGGCGGCAAGTCTAGAGGATGCAGCTCCACTCGGCAACATGCAGCCAAGATTACCCAGGCGTTTGCTGTTGCTCTCAAGAAGATTGCTTGCCGCACTTGATAGCTTTGCGGGTCATAGTCGCCTTACCCCTAATTGGTGGCTTGCATTTATGGTTATGGGTTTGAAGTATGGGTTCCTATCTTGGTTTCCAGAAGAACTGTTGGTTCAACTCCCCTAACCATCAATCCAAACAACTGACTAACCAACTAAGCATGGCCAACCTTTTGGGACCTGGACTAAACATGTACCAACATAGAAATTTCGAAAGGTCAAAAGGTCGAATTTGGACTGTCATGAGGCATGAATCTTGGCCGGCAGCATGGGGGGATGTCCCGGCACCTCGCCCATTCTACCCCATCGAAGTGCCCCGCCGTTTCAGGACCTCAAAGGTGTTGGTTGAATTCAATGCCCCACCCAAAAAGTTGGAGGTCTGTTGGAAGCCCTAGGCGGTTTTCTGAAGATGGTGCTCAGCCACACCTGATCCACGTTTGGGTGGCTTCCACCCTTGTTCTTTTGGGGTACCTTTCATGTGATTTCAAATGGACCTCAAGAAAGTCATAATCAGAAATTTGGTTCTACTCAAAATAATGTAAAGGACTACAATGGAGGCGCTTGTTTATGGTTGGGATTCTCCCTCACTACCCTTGTATGCGGGTTTGTATTGTGGCCAGCTGCTGTTGATGCACGGCCCGCTCTCAGCCCAAGTTGCTGTCTGTTGACTGCGCGGACGCGCCCACTGCAATGCCAGGCTCCTGCAGGGGTGTTTCATGAGGTTGACGAACATGGGCGGCGCCCTCTTGAGACAAGTGTCCATGGTTTCGGTCTGAACTTGGTGGTTTGTTACTCCCTTGCCCCAAGTTAACAAGTTAAGCTGTCAGTGGGATACGTCATAATCCCTCCAGCATCTAAAAGTCTGAGGGCATGGCTGAAAAACTGTGAGGTTTACTATGAGTAGCCATTGGGACAATGGAGGGCCCCATGGTTTTTTGTTGCCTTTACATCTGCACGCGTGGATGAACCAATTCTGACTAGGAAGACACAGAAAACTGGGCACCTCTTTGGCAACGTGGTTGCCGAGTCTTCGCCAAAATCACAAACGACCAGCCCAGTTGCAATATTCAGGGAATGCACGGATCATGATATTTGGCATTCGAACATTCCAGTTGGAACCCCTTTGAACGGGCATGATTCAGCAATATGTTCTCCCCAACAAAAGGGACACCTCACGACCCCAGGTCTTGCTTTGGGGTCAAAACCAATGGTGCTGGCAAATGGAACTCAGCACCATCTATTTTCAGCTAAATTGGCCTAGAACAAAAGGACCAACGAGGAAACACCCAAAAGGAACAAACGGACGATTCGTGGCGATGAATCACATTGGGACAGGCCGGTTGGATACTTCTTTGAGGGTTGTTTCAAGTGAAAAAATGGAAATCGCTCAAAACGGAACCAGAGAGGATTGCCTACAACGGAAACCAAGTGGAACTTCCCTTGATGGAAACCAAACGAAAATCCTGAAAACAAGGAAACATGTGGATATCTTACAAACAAACGCCTGAAAACTGTTATGTTGTGTGCGTGCGTGCATGTGTGTGTGTGTGTGCGCGTGTGCGTGCGGTTGCACGCTTCGCCCAGAAACACACAAAGGTTTAGCCATTTCCGACAAACCCTTACTTGGGTGGCTTTGATCGTACCAGTGAACAGTGGTTGGGCTTGCCTTGCGCCAGTGCCTGTTTAATCGCCGCATAAACCGCGGATTTACAGTCCACATACATTCACCCATTTGGGGAATCCACCGTCGTGAGAAATCACCCTTGCTGCGATACCAAAGTGGGCCATTCCTGTAAAAACCTTGTCATTAAAAGGGGGATTTGCTTCAACCGGTCCTGAGTTTCCACAACTACGTGGAGTAATGTAGAGTAGCAGCCTCCGTACTGGGGGCAGGGACATATTGATCAATGGGTCCGACTTTCTGCAAGTTTGGCCCTACTTCCGCTAACATCTATTTTTTACTTGTCCCCTTCTGGAACCCCAGCTTTTGATCCCATTAAACCGACATGACACCCTCTGAAATCTTCGACAACGGCTCACACTTGCCAAGTCGGGCTGGAACATCTGGACAAGGAGACATGATTGTCTCTTTCCACTAGCTTGTTACTCATCTGATGTCTCTCCCGCTGAGTCTGACATTTGCCATCTGGGTGAATCAAAACAAGTACTATAGCTGATATAATCATGGTAATGATAATAGCCATGTTTCACCAAACTGAATGAGGGACCAACAATAAGCAACCGTCATTGTCTGTCGCTATTGCCCAGATTCTTTCTACTTTCTGAACCTGGCCTCACCCACTTACAGGCTATGTGATAATCCTGACACCAGAACAATGGTGTTTTCCAAAGTCAGAGTCGCTCACGGGTTAACCCCCGGCGGGCCTTGGCATTTCCACCAAGTCTCCAGCAACTCCGCAGGGTTGGCACTGCTGCCCCTGCAGCGAGAATTACCTCCAACACCAGGCCCTCATGGGGAAATGCGGATATGCACAAACGCATAGCATTTGATATATGCATATTAATATTGATCTATATCTCTCTCTCTATCTGTTCATGTACATCTCTGTCACTCTGTACTTTAAAGCGACATATATGTGTTATACTCACAACTTGAACACATTTGATGACGGGTTGACAAATAAACCGCATTTTTTGAGCACCTAGGTATGAGCTAGGTGGGTAGGTAGGGAGGAAGGTAGGTGTGTGTGTGTGTGCGCGCCCGCGCGCGCCTTATTGATGTCTGTACGCATGTCTGGACGGCTGGCATGTGTGTATGTGTGTAGGTGTGTATGTGTGTATGTGCGTATGTGTCTATGCAAGACAAGTCTTGCTTCTATGAGTGTATGTACGGATGTCTGCATGTATAACGACTGTACTGCAGAAAATGTTCCGCCGACATTCAGGCTCGAATCCCCCTGCCAGCTCTTTGCTGGCTTGGGCTTCCTGCCTCCGTTTACCGAAAATCTGGAAAAAACTCTGCGTTTTTGGACGTCCTCTTTGCGACAACGCTGGAAAAACCGTGCTTTTTTGCGGGAAATACTGGAGAGCAAAGGGGATATGCAAGGAAGTGCAAGGACATGAGGGGAGGAACTAGGAAGCAACGGGAAATGAGAGGGAAACAAAGGGGAACTGAAAGGGACATGAAAGGAACAGAAATGAAAGCAAGGGGCGTGCAGGGGGAATGAAAGGGAAACAAAGGACAGGAAACCAATCGGCACGACGGGAGATGTAGGGAAATGACTCGCAACGAAAGCACGGAACATACATGGAACATGAAGCGGACATACCGAGAAAATGACAGGGACATGAAGGGGGAGTTGAAGGGAATGGAAGGGACATGACCAGGACATCATGGGCAACGTGAACAGGACATGAAGGGGAAATCAAGGGGAAAGCCAGTAGTGAGACTCAAGAGGCGCCGCTCAAGCGCCGACATTTTTTTCATGCCAAACGACGATAAAAGACTCTCAAACCACGACACAAAAAAGCTCCGAACAGCAAACAGAAAATATCCAAACGACGAAAAACACCAGCCCAAAAAACGACAACAAAAACGTTTAAACAACGACAACAAACAGCGAAACAACGACAATAAAAGAACGACCCAAACACGAGAAAGGCTCGGTGAACGAAAACAGCCTTGGCCCTTTGAGGACCTTGGCGCGACAACGTCCCTTTCCCCCAGCTTGCGCTTGGCCTTTTTCCTTGAGAATCATCTTTTGTCAGCGTGGCTATGAGACCACAAGATGCCAGCCAAAAGTGGCCAGCTTTGGTATGTTACTCAAATCAGCGCGCGGTGGATGATGGATGTCTGCCAACGCCGCTCTACTGAGCGTGATCTAGAGGCCATCAGCAAGCTCATTCAGCACCTGCCACGGCACTGATGTTACGAAGCACAATGGTGCTCAATAAAAGCAGCTGGCGCCTGCTGCTCATTCGGGCTGTGCGCGAGGGCCATCCAGCAGGTATCTGCGAAGTCGCCGCTAAGCTCCTTTCAAAGCGAATGTTAATCAGCGTTCCGCAGCGACGGTTGGTTTTCCCAGCGTTCAGGAGCGACGCGCTCGCCGCTCGTTTCACCTGCCTTTGTCCAGACATCGTACGCCGTGCCGCTGAGTGACACCGAGCTCTGCTCAGACGCCCTGAACGCGCCTGGGCAGGTACCCCCCAGTGAAAGGTAAAAACTTTCTCGTCAGTAGTGAAGCACCCTTCCAAAAGATCGAAAGGTCAAAGGGTAAACCTCAGAGCAGCTAAGGTGCTGTCCTGCCTCTCCAGCTGGATCTGCATCGCACGCTGCGCGTCAGGCAAAACGCGCACTACCTTCTTCCGGTAGGCCTTGTCCTGTCGGCCCCACCTTGCTGGCTTCCGCCAAACACACTGCGCATGCATTTCTCCCGCTGGGGCATTGGCGAGCCCAGCAGCGATTCAACATATCGAAAGTCCGCAGACGCATGCTTTGGGTTCTGAAAATTCGCGCCGCGTCACAGAGGGAGCGATCCAACACGCCCAGAGTCCGCAGGGTGTTCACAAATCTGCCGTTTTCGGAATTCGCACGGCACCACAGCGAGAGCGCGCTCTCGAAAGACCAAAGCCGGCGCCCGACTTTCTGCGAGCCTGCTCAACAAACCTCCGACAAACCTCCAACGGACACTTCCGAGCCCCGACATAGCTTTGGGCTCCGACGCAACCCCAACAAACCTCCCCCGACACAACCCGACAAACCTCCGACAAACCTCCGACACAGCCCCCGGCGCAACCCCCGACAAAATTCCGACACAGTCCCCGGCGCAGCACAAACCCTGGACCCGGCGCCCGGCGCAACCCCCGACACAGCTTCCGACAAACCTCCGACGCAACCCATGACAAGCCTCCGTCGCAGCCCCCGGCACAACCCTCGGCCCCGACAACCTCCGATAAACCCCCGGGCAAACCTCAGACACAGTATAATTGCAAGAAACAACGCTAACCCTTATAATTTTGAGCTTGCAAGGAACATGCTGGGGGTTCCGACACATGGGATGTTCCCACAGCGCAGAAGTGTTTGCGTAGTTTGCGTGTTTGGTGGTGTGTCAAAGCCGCGACGAAACGGACTAGAAACTTTTGTTGGAACAGAGGTCTGGTCTGGGCAAGTTAGTGATGGCTTCATAAACTCAAAGGGCCATCGAATCGATCCCCAATGATAATCCAACGGGCCTCTGAAAAAGGCAAACAAAGCACGGAAAAGGCATAGGAAATTCAGACACCTGCGATCTGCCTTTCTGATCGGTCCGCGACGGCCAGGGCATGAAGCATCCGATTGCCGCGGCACGTCCTGCGCAAGCAGTGGAAAAAAGTTGGCTTGTTTACTACCAAAAAAACAACCTGTCGGGCCTCCAGCAACGGATCTGGCCCCTGCGCCCTACCCTCAAAGCAAAGCCACTACCGCGTGGCTCCCAAGGCCTCAGCATCCTGCTTCGGGAGCGCTTTCCTTCCTCTAGCCACCTGCCACAAACTCAGCGACACAAAAAGCGTCTGCGCTACTGTTCCAAATGCGCCTGCTTGGAAGCCACGCCAGCTGAGGACTCTTGGCCCTCCTGCAAGTCACCAAAAGGTAAAGAAGGAGTTCAAGCTCTGAAATCACGCCTCCTCTTTTTGCGCCAGTGGCGGCAAGCCAAGCCGGACAGGCCACGATAGGCTTCCGGCATTCTTCTTTCAGCTCAGCCACTTTCCAGCGCCACAAGTCCGAGACACGCGGCCACAATTCCCCAGCCTTTTTCTTGCTCCCCAGCCCGGATCCGCCATCTGCGCGCCCCTCACAAGCACAGGCTTGGCAAAACACTGCTCAATCCCCGAGCCTTTTTCTTGCTCTTCAGCCCGGATGGCCCATCTGCGCGCCCCTCACAAGCACAGGATTCGCACAACACTGCTCAACATGCGTGCGTGCAATAGGTGGGCCTCTGGTGACTGTGGGACATGTAAACTCAACGTATGATGTGACAAATCTCCTGGATGCTAGCCTTGCTCAAACCTCACCACTGCCAGCGCCGCAAAAAAAAAGAACTCCAACAGCTGTCTCACTGATGCTCTCTTCTTCTGAGTCCTTGCTCCGCCCCCACCACTCCCAAAAGCCCTCTCACTGATGCTCGCTTCTGAGTCCTTGCTCCGTCCCCACCGCCGCCAAAACCTGCAGAAGCTCTCTCACTGATGCTCGCTTCTGAGTCTTTGCTCATTGCTTGTTCCTTGCTCTCCCCCGCAACACCACCACCACAAACGGAACAGGGCTGGGTCAATGGGATGATGTCTCGCCAAACAACCCTACACAGCCCGTTGGCGTGCTTGTCGCAGCGCTGAATAGACTCATAAAACACACACAGATACTTGAAGAAATGGCCAAGCTGCATCATCACGGACAGGTTCAGGAAGCCACTTGCTGCAGAGCCTCCCAGAAAGGGACTGCCAGAGCCACCCAGTGAAATGAAGGCTGGGCTGACACCTCCGCCATGGCAAGCGTGCCATTGTGCTTGTCCAGGCAAGATTGAACCCATTCCAGGAAGTGGTCTGCAGAAGCTCTGAACTCTGCAGTTGTGCCCCCGTGCGTCGATACCTCAATACATTGGGCAAGCGCACGGGCCGAGATGTGCTTGTCCACCAGTCGCATCAAAACTGCGGATGGCGTGGGTTGTTTATTGTTGGCAGAGTGTCCGCTTCTCTGAGGATTGCTTGGCGATCCTGGGGCGAAGGCTGGCTGTTCTGGCTGCCCCGACTCTCACGCATTGCGCGCTTTGCCCCCACGCAGTCTCCGCTTTGAGAAACTAGCAGCTGGTAGCGCTGTTGTTCCACATCCGGACAGCCCGCAAACCTGATGTGAAGGCCTTCGTGTGCTCCGTGCAAAGTCCAGTTGTCACAAAATGCCCTTGAGCATTCTTGAAGAGGGCCCTGAAGTCGCCCAAGGGGATCTGCTTAGAGTCCCCCCAGCTCCGTGCTACCTCAAAGGGGCCAAATGCTTTCGTCATTGCAACCATGTGCTCCTCCGGCTGCATGAACTTGAGGACACGCCAGCTCGGCTTCTGAGGCTCCTTCTGAGACACTGCTTCTTCTTCTTCCATGGCTGGTGCTGTCTGTCCGTGCGTGGCTGATGCATATCTGTGATCAGCTTTGAGCCTAGCACTTGCATCGGGGCCAAATTGGCCCGGATGACTCATTTTGCAGTTCGAAAGGTGTTGCTGATCTGCCAGGTTTGAGGGAATTGGAATCGATCCCCCCATGACATGGCCAAAGTGACAAGGCGCAGCGCAGCCAATCAATAGCATGCGACGTACACACACGCACTCGTATCAATAAGGGTTCCTTTCCATGCAGGCATTGTGTGAAACTGCATGCAGCTTTGCATTTCCTGCGCATGTGCTCAAATCTACGGTAAACTACCAGGCCCAATCTTGAATATCCATGAACCCCTGAA